ATCAACTTGTTGATTGACTTCTGGTTGGTTTGGCAATAAATGAGGGCAAGAGAAGAGCAATCTGGATATTCATTTCTTTCTTCTGCTCTTCTTTTTTTTTTTTTTTAATATATATCTTTATTGATTTCAGAGAGAGGAAAGGAGAGGGAGAGAGAGAGATAGAAACATCAATGATGAGAGAGTCACTGATCGAGCCCGCAACCTGGGCATGTGCCCTGACCGGGAATCGAACCCTGATCGCCTGGATCCTAGGTCAACGCTCAACTGCTGAGCCACACCGGGCTCTTCTGCTCTTCTTTGAGCAGCAGCTACATTCCCTTAAAGACAGCTCCCACTAGGCTAAGCAGCCCTTTCTCCACTGCTCCAGCTCTCACTGGCTCTCCGTGTACTATTTTTTCCTTTATTTCTTAAGCCTAAGGTAGCAATGGCTTCCAGCTGCTGTCATGTATGGGTGCCTCACTGTATCTGTCAGCTTTTATTGTGGCCACAAACAACTGCAAAGAGGCCAAAGCAAGCAATATGGCAAAGCCTAAAGTCAAACAAGTGAGGACATGTACTTCTCCTTCAGGATGCCCAGCCTATCTGGTGACCTTTATTTCTGGTAGGATGGCCTCAGATCCATAGTAGACATCAATAAACATTAGCTTTCTTTCCCTGTAAACACTCTTTCACTTCTATAGTATTATGATATGAATCATTCTTTCAGCATGTAAGTGGAGTGGGATTTTGACAATGATCGGTTCCATTTGCTACTTAGATACCATAGGGATTCTGAGAGAGCATTGGCTTCTCAGATTCTTTTGGGAGTAGAATCTGAGCTCACTCTTCTCAATTAAGATTTGTAGTTTCTGCTTTGACCCACAAAATTCTGCAAAATTGTTTTATATTTCAGGGACTAGAATAATTCAACCAGGCCTATTTTTTCATAGAGTAAATGACAAAAAGAAAGAAGGCGGAGGGAGTCCCATTACTCACATAATCCTTTGGGTATTCCATTTTTGAGTTCAAACTGAGCCACACACTATTTCTCACATGACTTGCTTAGGAAATGTTCTTAGTGTCTTTCAATTCCAGTCAACTTTTTTATTCATAAGATATAATGGCATATTTATTACATTACTATACTGTGTATAATTGCAACTACATGAAGAAAATATATACATACATATATGAATCTATACACACCTAGCCATATATTGGGATAAAGATGAGAAGAAAAATATAAGAATAGATATGTTAAATTTATCAGTGATGGGACTATGGGTAGTAATTAAAAATTTTTGGCATTAGAAAATCATTTATTAAATTAAAAAGGAAACAGTAACCAATGGATGCATCAGAAGGTTTCAACTAACCAGAATACAGACAAATGGGAGCATCCTGGAAAACTGAAGAAAACATTTTTAATCATTTAAATCACTTCAAAATATATTAATGTATCTCTGCCAGGATACATAGGAAAGTCATACTATGGTTCTCCTCTGGAGAGGGAAGCAGAGTGGCTGTAGGAGAGCGGCGGGAGGGAGGTCTTCCATGTTGGTGCCTTTGGAATTATGATTCCATTTAAGTGTATTACTAACAAAATAATAAAGATAGAAAAGAAGACCTATCTGCTTCTCCCCTGTCTTTGTAGGTGAAGCAGAATTAACATTATTCTGAAATTGCTGTTTTATTGTCTTTTAAGAGTTCTCCACCTCTATTTTATATGGGTCATTTGTAAAACAAATGTTTTTAAGTAAATGACTATGATACCTTCTAACGTAACTTACCATCGTGAATATATTACTTAAAAGGCAATAGCTTTATCTGGGTATTGTGGGAAATTCAAAAAAGTATAAAATGCGATCTCTAGCTTTTGTGAACTTACTTTTTTCGATGATAGAACACATGAAGAAGTGTAAAAACTGAGGCAAGCTAAAAGTTGTGCATATGAAATTATTACTGCAACGCCTAACATTGACTGAAAGAAACAATTCAAAAAGATGGAGACTGGAGTGGGCTAGAACGTAGATAGGGAAGGCTTCATGCAAAGTTTGTGTTAGGTCATATGGAGGTGCAGTAACAAATCCACCCTAGTATTCAGTGATTGAGAGACTGTGTTTGCTTATTTCTCAGGTAGCAGTCCAGAGCAGACTTTTGGTTAGCAGGGCAGCTCTCTTCCATGGTTGGAAAGACACTCAGGTGGGCAGTTGCTTTGCCTCCTGCACTGTGCAGCATCTCAGGTCCCTCGGGGCATCTCTCTAAGACAGCCAAAGGGGACGAGCACAGGGAAGCATGAGGGCACTTTTATATGTCTATAAATGTGTCTATATATATGAGTCCTGGAAGCATACATATCTTCTCCTCTCACTTTCCATTTATTGTAGCTCAGCAACAAGGCCACACCTCACTGCATGAGACAGGGGCATGCAATCTTGCTAGCCGGCCACGTAATTGACCTTTCCATTGCAATGGGAGGAAGAGTAGGGTCTGTTCTGGATGGACAGCTGACAGTTCTATCACAAATATGGAACATTGATGATTTGGAAGAACAAAGAAGAGAAAGAATGGCTTTACTCCGGCAGGAAAACAATGAGAATCACCAGGCTGTTAAATCTCATCAGGCCCCTTTTGTGTGCTAAACAAAACTTACTCTAGATGATTTCTAAAATTGTTTCCAGCTTTTAAGTTTCTGTGGTTCTGGGAGCTGGCATTCAAAGGGCATTGTGTTCGGCTGGAGCAACGTGTTTATGTTGGAAATAGTGCAAGACAGAGCTTACATTACGTGGGTAGAGTGGGGTCTTGAATAGTCACTGTATTGCACTGGAGATTTTTTAAAAACCAAGTGTCAGATATTGAACCAGTACCTCCTACACAGCAAACACTCTGCCAGGTGCTATGGAGGACACAATGAGGTTAACCCAACCTTTTGGAGAATAGATTACATACTACGTACGGGGAGGCTGAGATGGACGAAGAAAAGAGAAGATTGAGAATGAAGGAGGGTGGGATGTTCCCAGGGTCCAGACATCACAGTATCAGGCAGGAGATAGAGGAGAATATGAAATTACCCTTGAATACTGTCTACAAGATTTTTATGAAGAAAAAAATCTCTAATGTGAGCTTGTTTCCCCACGATTTGTCTCCTACAATTGGAGACAATAAATTTCCATTCATTGAAAGTCCTGATTAATGAACTTGGGGTTAACTATAGTTTTACTGCAAGTAAAAATGCAGTAAAACTATTCTATGGACCAATTAATTAATTTAAGATTCTTTATGTGGTAGAATCAGACCTTTAGGGAATTAAGACATTCCATACAATTTACCTATTTCTAGGAAAATACATTCTCAGGTGTTACAACCACTTGAAAATTCTGCCAAATGTAGTATTCTATGTGGTATTCTACTGTTAATTCTTAGCCAGTCATACCTATAATACCTAGGATTCTTATCTTTGAGTATAATGGTGCTATCCTGGCTTTTTCTTTAGTGTTAAATTTTTGTTTTTTAATATGTTTTTATTGATTTCAGAGAGAGGAAGGGAGAGGGAGAAAGAGATAGAAACATCAATGATGAGAGAGTCATTGATCGGCTGCACCAAGCTTACAGGTCATGCTGCTGATCTGCCGACCACATTTTGGATAGTCACAGTGGGAGCTGCAACCCAGCAGAACCGTATCTTGAATGGAGACAGATTTAGCCTGATGTGGAATATTTGAAATGTAGCAATCATGTCCAAAACATAGCATGTAGCACCTGAGTCATATAAAGTAAAGAAGAAAAGTGTTTCAGAATAAAGATTGAAGACTATAATGCAGTATGTGTCAGGTGCTCTGATGAGTGGCCATATCTGACCACCACACTCATTGTTGCTGTTATTACGGATTATGAGAATGTGATGAAATTCCAAGTACCACAAAGAAAGAGGAAATTGTTTCTTTTTTTACTGATTCTTGCTTTGCTGCATGCTGTCCACAGGTTCTTTCTCTCATTTCCCTTCTATAGATTTGACAGTGTGTGTGGCTGGTGTTATCACATTGGACTTAGTCATAGAAATATGGTCTCTTTTCTCATTCTGTGTGGTGAAGAGTAAAAGATTATTTCTGCTGAGGGGTGAAAAGGTCTTCAAACTAGAGTGTTTTCTAGTAAACAGCCGGCCTGGAAAGACCCTGAGGATTAAAATTTCTGCTAGTGGTGTTTTTAACTTTTGAAAAAATTTTGAAGTATACTGACATATGACATTATATTCATTTCACGTGTGTAATCTATTAGTTTAATTTTCACTTTTAAAGGATCTGTTCCTTTTAATTTGAACAATTTGTGATTGGGTGTAAAATTGACATCAATATTCTTGAATATCTTTTTCTCCCACTGAAGTACTCACAGGCAAAGATGGTTCTGGAGAAATGTGTGCGTTTGCATGTTGAAATGGAATCTGATTTATATTGTGCCAAGCACCATTGCTGACAGTTATGTAGGCTTTGAAATCAAGTTATGACTTAAAAATATATGTGGCATATGTTCTACTCCAATTTAAAAATATGCCTAGGACAACTTTTTTTATTTTTTAAACCCTGCTGAAATCTGAGACTCATGTAAACTGACTGTTTTCTCTTTGTATGGATATAATGTTTAAATCACTCAACTTGTGAACATCAGATAGCTTTACATCTCATTTCATGTTGTAATAATCATAATAATTATCATGTCAACTCACAGTTAAGAAGTTCGTACTAGATGCCAGGCTATGTGCCAAGTGCTTTATATGAATTACCCTTTCACTCTGCTTTATAATCTCCACAGTCGAGCTGCTCTGTTTAATACGTAAATATGGAGTATCTTAATGCTCAGTTGATGTTATACACACATATACACACATGTACACACATGCACATGCTCACACACAGACATACACAAGCACACCCTCACACACAATGACTGCTTGTGAGGGAAAAAATAACAGTCTTAAAAAAATACCCCCAAGTCATGTGACAGATTTAGCAAATTCTTTTTATTTACATAGAAATGTGTACACATACTTTCTCTGTACACAGAAAATTCTAAGTATATATACATATATGGTTCCCACATATTTTACAATAAATAGTATTTTAATCTTGTTTCTAGATGAAAATAAAAAGATGTCTCAAAATATTTCACACCAACCACAAAATTACAAAAGCATCTGATAGACTCAGAGCAAAAATTTCAAGCCTGTACTACCACACACTAACCCTAGTACGATTTTTACAAAAGACAAAAATCAAACACTGTGCAGGTAGCAGGGAAAGGAAAGGAATGGAGATGCCAAATAAAGAACGGAGCCGCGGGCTTTTTCAGTAGTGTGCCGAGAGCATTTTGTTGGTTGGGACTGGTTTTCCTTCAGTCCTCAATCTAATGTTTTATTTTAATTGATATTTTACAGATAAGAAGGGGGGAGGAGAAGTTAACATCTAAAAGTTAACATGTGAAAAAGGGTAACCATTCCATAAGTCTTATGAATTCTAGAAACCTTTTAACTGGTCACCCCCATTCTGTGCTCATTCCAAGATCAGCCGGTTCTACCATCCAGGCTGACTGTCCACCCCGCAGAGAAGATGCGAAGAACACCGACTGCGAAGAAACATTAATTTGTAAATAATTTCAAAAGCCTGGTGAGTCAGGTATCTTGGTTATCAGTACTTACTAATAATTGCTAATGTTTAAATATACTCTATTTCCACGTAGAATTTGATTCCTTGCTCAAATAATTAATAATGCAAAGAAAACTTGACCTGGGAGCTAGAAATAATGAATCCATAATCCTGGAATTTCCTCCCTCCACTTCCAATTTTTATCCTAATCTAGTCTAAGAGACAATCCCTTTCTCTCCATTGCAGAGTTGTTCGACACACCTATATAAAAATCATACTACCAAATGAGTAGAATGAGGTTATAGGTTATAGGGTGAATACAGATTTATGACATTTTGACAATCTCTCACAGCACCGAATTTGGCCAAAGAATCTAAAAACATCATGATCTTCATTACTGTTGAACTGACTTATAATATATCCAGATTTGCTTTCCCAATACACCAATATTACCACTCAGATGAGCATTATAAGGACGGTGACCAACAGAGGGCTAAGTGTTCAAACCACATTCGCTCAACTCTAGCTCAGATAATAACGTATTTAGTTCCACTGTGACACTGTAACTTCACACACGAATTTTTCAAAACAAATTTCACCTCTTCATCTCTCCTATCTGTAACAGCCCAGATGTAGGGGAAAACACAGCAATAAAATAAAATAAAAATCCGATGTCAGAAGTGCAATTCATCTATCAAATACAATCTTTTCAGTTACTTTACTGAATCTATTTTAAAGGTAACCTTCCAAAGTACAGTTCAAGGCGGGCTCACTTCAAGAGCAATGTTCGTCACATGCATAACTCGACTCTGTCTTGCTACATGTTGCTACCGTTGAAGCTTCTTGTAGAGAAACAACCATATTCCAAGGGCTTCGCCATCCTATGTGAAAGCGATGGCTTCATAAACAGTTTGACTCTTTAGGTTAAGGTGCTTATGATCGAAACAAACACACTTCACATTTGAAGATGTTTCCTTTCCTTTTCCTTTTTATAAAAAAAAATATTTGTAAACCTATTAGGGAACTAAGGTTCACTGCCAGAAACACACATGGGATCCTTTACCAGGAAGAGCTGGGCGTGGTTCGCGGTCATTCTCATTAAATCCATATCCCTCCCTCATTTCTGTCACTGCGGGAAGGTTCAGCCAGAAGATAAGTAGGGAGTCTCGCTGTGGTAGTTGTAGTCAGGACAGACCTTTTGCACGAGTTTGTAGTCAACACTGTAAAAGGCAATGTAAATGCAAATGACCTTGAAGGGCTTGGAGCACAACCAAGACACATGACTCTGAGTCTGCTCCTGGTAGCAGATCTTCGACGGGTCAAAGTTGCACAGGGCGGTCTTCTTCGCCCGATCTGTTTTTTCATACTCGATGCGACAGTTGAAAGATTTGGATTCCTTGGTCTCCAAGGAAGACTGCGGGGAAACTTCAAACTCCACCACTTTGGAGGGGGGTACCAAGCTCACCGAAACGTTGCCCAGGCCTGTGGAATTATGTCGGAAATAAACGCTGAAGGTTCCATTTCCGTGGTCAACAATTTTCCCTGTGATCAGGAGGTTGAGTTTAACAGTTTTAATGTTGGAATGGAAGTCGCCCCATCCAAACATTTTCTTAAATTTCCCCGTTTTTACTATTGGCCTCCGTTTAGTTCTTGCCAGGGGCTCCTGAACCTCCGTGATGTTGGCCAGCCAGTCCCAGAAGTTTTCCATGCTGTCTGCATAGGCCAAGTGTCCGGGCTTTGGGACTGGAGACTGTTTAACAAACAGGCGCAGGGGACTGATGATCCTCGAGTGGACCACATTCCCGACCAATGTCCCCGGAGCGTCTTTGTCTTCCCAATCCAGCCCCTCTGTGGCCCGCACCACCGTTTTACTGTCACAAAACAACTGTGAAGAGAAGAGAGAAATACATTTTAGGTTAGGCTTTGCGCACACACATGCTGTAAAGCCAAAACACAAGGGAGGTTCTTGCAACGTAATTTCGATTCTTGCTAAGTGGCATTTCACACACACGGCTGGCTCAGCAGTGAGCAAGGCGAGCATTCAACTTAAGCGATGCAAAGTCTGCGAGTACAACAATTAAAATGGTGAGTTTGAGAAGAAAGTGGTTCATTTTAACGGGTTGATGTAATTTTCCTGATGTTTTGCAATTCTATCTTTCCAGATGCGGGTAAGTAGCATATTTTGGTCTCTTATTTAATAAAAACATTAAACTTGTGATGTCTTTTCTTTCGGGTAGAAGGCAAATCTAGAATGCTGAAGGTTTCTCTCAAGGAGCTAGAAAAGATCTGAATATAAGATATTGATGTCTTAAATCTACTTAGAAATATTAAGGATCTTATTATATCCAAAGAGGTACGTACGTCATATAATCTCATAGCTTTTGGTATAATTCCATCTCAAACTCTGTAACAAAAAAGGAGCGTGGCTAATAACAGGATGTTCTCCAAAAGTTTCAGTTGAAAACTAAACTATGATTTCAAATTTAGCTGTCTTTATAGAAACAGATAAATTAGAGATGTATACTTTGAATTTATTAATAGACTGTCTACAACGCAATATATTTTATTACAACTGAGCTACACTCTGAGAGAATTGCTAAGAGAATTATGTACAGATGGGTAATAGATGCCACAGTATTTTGGTTCAAGTCATAAAACACAGCACTTTACCTGCGTTTGGCTTTTCTTTTTATTCTTTTTGTGGTCATGTAAGAGTCCCTGTGACTTCTAAAAACCATGTAAAGTCAATACAGATTTTGAGGCACAGACTCGTAATATATGAAACTGTTGCCTGGAGTGAATATTTATAAATGAGTTATAAAGTCCGGAAAATAGAGGTTTCTCGTGGAAGCACAGAGAGCCGCTTATCTCTAACGGCACAAACCACGCTGGTAATGATTCTTGGGAACACTGTCAGCGTGATGAAATGCACACGAAAGAAGCGAGGCTGTGCTGACGCACTGTTTCCCCAACCCCTTCAGACCTGGCAAAGCACCTGTGAAACTAGCCTCAGATTATTACAAAAATTATTGCTTTCAATCTGTTTTTGAAAAAAAAATAAATAAATACAGCCTGGATTATAAATATTGTACTCGACTACATGGTGGAGTTGAATAACACAAGGCTATCATTTACAAGTTCACGATAGTTTAGCAGTTCAAACTGAGTTTAGAATTTGAGTTCTAAACAAAGAAAAAAGTGTGTTCCTATACCTGGTCCCCAAGATCACGGGAGAGTAGGAATCCGAGCGCTTAAATGGGCTTTATTTTTTGCTTTGGGAGTTCATATTTTCACTCCTTTGATTAATTTCCTGAAGACTTTGCTTCCTCATGTCTAGTATTTTTTAAGACTATTTTCTCTTCACTTAAACTACTGAGGTTTGGCAGAAGGGAAAATTGATAGGATGTACATTCTTACTATTCTGAGAACCTACATCTGTCTTCCTCTTCTTAGGGCTTACACATCCTGAGCTGATGCTTTGCCTCTCCTGGTGTGGAAAGGCTGGCATGTGCATTAGGAAGAGAGGGATCGGGCTCAAAACATGCTGGGTGTTTCTGATACCGTAAGCAGCTTTCCCATTTTGAATACTCTTAATTGTGACGTACACAAACCCCATTCAAATCCATAGGTAGTGGCCTGTGGGGTCAGTACTGCTCGTTAGGGCTTGAATTTCCTGAGAACGAAGGCAGCCTGGTCCCCCTGATGTGTCCTTGCCTCTCTCCAGCGAGATCCAAGGACACACGGGCAGTTAAGAAACCCCTTGAAGGTCGAGGTCCAATTTCCCTTCTCTGTGATTATGACTCTTGCTACCCAGCAACTATTATCTATTTTTCGCCTGTCTCCAGTATTGCATGAGCTCTGCCTTGCTTGGCCAGTGGTGGCAGGCACATGTCCCACTTGTTGAGAACCATGGGTGCGTAAGAACTTGACTTCCAACCTTCTAACCTCTTCCCTCACTCCTGCCTTACTCTCTCTCTTTCTTAGGGAAAATCCTTTTGGACATTTCCCCCTTTTAGCTTGAGTTAAAAAAAAAAATAAATCTCAATTCTTACCTTTACACACATTCTGCTGATTAAATATTTTTTCACTCACAAGTATGACAGCAATATCTTTGCTACCAGCAGCAACATGCTGGTTTTGTTGTTTCTTCTTAAAAGTTATACATTTTCCTGATTTTTTTCTGCCTGAATCATTTTCCTTGACTTGAGCGCACTGCCAAATTTTCTCCTTACTTTTCTGTTACGGAAAACCTATGAACATTGAACCTATCATTATCCCTAGTGATCGAACCCACCACTTGTCCCAAGGACAAGTAAATCCTCAGTCATGAAGAGTCTTAAGTTAACTGGCATTGGTACATTTTTGGAATACATGATAGACCCCGTTAGGAGACAGATATTATGGGGTCCTTCTCTTCTCTCTAGGACTTCTGTGGTGGTTCTGAGACTATTCAATGATCAGAATAATAATAAAAAATGGCCACTTACTGAGACTGCTAAAAAATCCTGAAGATTTTCTTTGTAGTCATTTATAACAACTTGACCCAAACATATGATACTCTAAGAAACAGAAGTGTGAAAAATACCCAAGTTTATCAAACAGTTAAATTAGATGTGATTATTTTCTTTTAGAAGAGCTCCTTGACTCTTCAAAAAAGATTCTCCATAGGAGAATTTAAAATGGAATTTGACTTCTAAAAAATAAATTCTAACACAATACTTTTCAGGTTCAAACCTGATCAAAAAGTCCTTGATTTTAAGGTTGGCCTTTATAAAAAAATAATACAATTTAACTAATAGCTCAGATCTATAACTGTTCTCTGTTCCAGTGAAAACACTCACTGACAGATCCTTAGATGCAATGTGTGTATATACATTTTAATTTCTTTCTTTCCCCTAGACCATCACATTTCTCACTTGCTTTGACAACAACATTAAACAAGTGGAGAAAAAGCTGTATATAACTCCATCTATTAATTACTTTAAAACATATGGGCGTTCTCACAAACACCGATTTCCATATCTAGACCCAAATCTCAAAAAGCTATCAGATAATGATGTATAATTAAAAGGGTAAATATATCTCTAGTTGTCTTAAAAAGCTGACAATTGCACCTCCTCCCAACTCCCTCTCCCTTTGGCACAACTTGCTCAGCCTTCCCCCTGGAATCTTTTCTTAAAATTTGTGCATCACTGTTGAGAGGGCACCCCCTCCTATGATCTAAGGCTGCAAGGCTCATGCTTAACATCCAAAGACCTGATCAGGGATGACTGGGGTGGGATGTCACCATCCTGGCCCCCACTCAGCCACACACTCCTGATATGAAAGCAGCCTGGTAGATAAAGCATAAGACTTGGTGCCTGGTGACTCATCTCATCACCCCTCTCTTAAGTGTTTGACACAAACCCGTTTTTTCACCTGTATGTACTTTGCTGCTAGACTGTAAGGACCAACTAAAGAACGCATGGAAATTACGGAGCCCGATCTCTGGCCAAGGCATTCGATGACTGATGGCTCTTGCATGGTCCAATGGATAGTGCCACGTCTCCTATTTAAGAATTATCTTCAAAAGGTTTTATGAATTCTCAGGCCTCCAAAAAACTGATGATGGTTAATCGAAAAAATTGTTCAGTGCCATATCATAACATGAATGACCGAGGAGAAATCAACCTTCTCAACCCCAGAGCATCCATCACGTTTCCTCCTGTTTCCAGCCTCACTGGCATCTGAGGCCTAGCCGGATCGCAGGCGCAGGTGAGCTCTCTTGGCCAACAAAATGCGCTAGTTTCCAACTTACCAGATTAGTCAGCAAAGGGAGCTGAACGTACAGGGCATCTGGCAGTTGCCCTCAATTCTTCAACAATTTCTATGACACAACCAGCTGGGGGAGGGCTGCAGGCTCTGAGCCTGTTGGCAAACCACTCCATCCAAGGCTGTTAGATGTTTGCTACAAAACACATGCCTGCACCCCACTGGTTACTTCTGTACCTGCTGAGGCTCTCTGTGCTAATATCAGTGTCACTGCTTTCTTTGTCCCACCATATTACAATAATAATGCAGAAAACATTTAACCGCAAACACAAAATTCGGTTTCAAAAAGGGAGAAAAAGAGGAATTGCTGTGCTTTATCTGTTTGAACATTCCTGATTTCAACACATTTATCAAAGCTTAAGTGATTTATGTTTTGGCAGGGTGTATCAATTTCACCAAGCACACGCATTAGCTAGATACAATGATATCATATTAGCTTTTTCTGCATCTTACAGAAGAGCTAAAAAAGATTAATAAAAGCTCAAACCTTCATCAATTAAACGGAGCAGGTGGGAGGGACGGAAAAGAGGAAGAAGACTGTATTTCATTTCAGTCCTTTTGTTTTTAGGAGGGGAAAAGCTGACAGGTTCAAATCATTCATCATAACAAGCTGGAGTTGAATTTCACTGATAATTAAATGCATTTTTCCCCAAGAGTCAGAGAAACTGCAATGGGTTTTATAGTAGCAGATGTGAGAACTGTCACAAATTATGGAAATAATTTATAAACTGAAAAGCATCTTCCTCTGCAAATGCTGTATCAGAAGATCCTTTCTCAACCCTATCTGTTATGTAGTTTTCAGTCACTGTTTTATTTTAGAATAATTTTAGTTTACAGAAAAGCTGTGTAGTAGAGTTACCATACGCCCTGCATCCAAGTTTCCTACACTGTCAATATCTTAAGTTTAATACATTTGTCCCAACTAACGAGTGAATCTTGATACACTATTGTTAACTAAAGTCCACTCCTTACTTAGATTTTCTTATTTTTATCTCACTGTCCTTCATCTGTTCCAAAATCCCATCCAGGGTCCCACATTACATTTGGTCCTCATGAGTCCTGAGGCTTGTCTTGGCTGCAACAGTCTCTCAGTGTCTCTCTGTGTTTGACGGCCTTGAGCGTTTTGAGGAATTCTCGTTAGGGACCTTGCAGAATGTCCTCCAGTTTGAGTCGATGAGGAAGGACACAGAGGTGTCATCTTTGTCACTTCATCTCAATGGCACCCTGGCAGCATGACATCGCTGTTGATGTTCATCTAAATCTTCTGGCTTTTAAAGCTGGCTTTCAGAATTCTCACAAGGCTTGTACATTTTTGTTATCATCAGCTTAGTTTAGTTGACATTAAATTCAGTAGCACTTAATTTAGGATTGGT